CTGACTATAAAGCTTTAGGTCGAATGTTCTCGACAACGGTAGAGCTGTGGATACGCATGGACGACAGCTTTTTTGACACATTTGCTGCAGTAAAAGTAATATTGGAAAAGGCTGATGGTGAGACAATAGAAACAGTGTCAACCGTTGGGCCCGTTACTCTCTGCAAGGAGTAATGAAACCGTAAGAGATCGGCTGCTTCCGTTGCTGATCGCGTGCACTCGTCAGTCGTGATCAGTGCAGGAGTTCCGCGTTGCACCTTAAAAAGGCCATTAACCTGCCTGTAAAAAGTTGGTGGTTCATGCAGAATCTCTTCATTAACGCTTGCTGATGCGTCACCATGTCCTCGCGGAGCAAGCTCATGCAGAAGTTACGATGTGCCACATAGACTGTTTAGGTTTCGAAATTCGAGGAGTCCTTGGGAGCTCTCCACGCTAAGTCCCTCAGGGACATGCAGTTGTGTGTTCTGCTCCTCAGAAATGACTTCCTTCTCTTTTGACGATGGAAGGATTTCTGCTCAGACGCGTGCGTTTGCAGTGTGGTAAATGTTATTGTGAAAGTGTCCCAGGCGATTTCTGGAGGGCATTCAGTTACGTAGGTCCAAGATACCTCTTTAACAAGCGCTGATAACACATGGTAGTGCGTGACCGTATATACTTTCTCATCCCCTTCCTCAGGATATATCGCACAACATACCTAGTTAAACAGTAGACTCACATGGTCACCGTGACCCAGTGGTGTGCTTGTAATTATTCCGTCTACCATGAATTCTTTGTTAGTGAGCAAAAGATTAAGTATCGAAGGCTGGTTAGCCGTTCGAAATCTCGTAGGAGATGTCACGTGGTTGTACAGAGGGTAGCTGGGATACACCTCTTGTAGACGGGCTTTGAACTGCATGCTATCGGTCACCGCTATTTCCAGCTCGTGCACATTAAGGCCGTCTTCGATGAGAATTTGACTGTATGTTTTGCTCAAAGCAACCTGAAGAACATGGTTTAGTTTGGAGTCCTTTTCACACGTAGTTTGGTGGACCGAAAATCACAGCTATAAGACATGTATCTTTGTTCCGCAACCATAGCCGGCACCAAAGCGAATCTGAGACACGGACCTGTGGGTGGTCAATCAATCCACATCGGAGCTTAGCTTTATAATACAGAATTACACCACGACCACTTCCAGCTTTGTCATTCCGAACCAGTGACATACCAGTTAAATTGCCTTCAGAATCTGCTATCTCAAGGCTTAACCAGGTCTCCGTAATCAAAATGAGACCCCGCGGTTGTGACGCCTGGCGTTATCTAAGTCAGGCCAACTTACTAAAAAGACCTTGGGCGTTAGTATACAAACATTATGTTGCTTTTGATGTTAGAAGTGTGTGGATGGACAGCAACTGCGTGTTTAGTTTGAAGCCGACCGTTCTTCGGTCGGCCGCTAATCGCCTTTTGCGTGGGTCATTGGTACTTGGATTTTAGGCAGGCTGCATGGTATCACGGAGCATCTCAGATCGAGATTTTCTGTAGTGTTTCTTCCCGTTCCTCAAGCATCGCTAAAGCCATATCGTCTACAACTTTGCAGGATTGTAGAAGCAAATATTTTACTGAGATCGCTTGTTTTAATGAATTGCTGAAAAGTAATATTCGTGCGCCTACTAGCTTTAGCCTAATCTCGCTAGGAAGCCTGGAGCGTTGCTTCAACCAGCTATCCAATAGAAGTTTTCTCATTCCATCGAACTGTAGCACGACTTTCAATATGTTTGGACCGCAGCCGTTGTAGTTCGGAGACCAAGGAACTATCGTTAATGATTTAGCGATAACGTGGTCCAGTGAGAGTGCTTCGCGGATGTAGCACCACTGCTATTGGTCATGATTTTTCGCTTCGTGCTCAGGAGAGCACAGTAGTTCAGGAGCACCATTAACAAATACGGTTTTTTGCTTTCGTTCGTAGGAGGGCTGCTATGCTTTTCTCTTTCCAATGACTGTCCTTTCCGAGGAATATCGGGTAGTATGCGCACTCCGCTCGATGCGCTTCGAAGATGAGCTGCTGAGAGTAGGACTAACTCTGGCTCCTCGGTTAAATCAACGCTTACTCGAAGAAATCGGGTTCGCGGTAATGCGCTGTATTGGAGTGACGCACTGCGCGTTGTAGCCCAGTTGGCTCAACCCAAATACCAATCACATCGCAGATGGAATGCCAATGGCTGCGATCAGCTATCAACGTGCTCTTTATTGTGCAAGACCTGGACTCAGGAAGATTAGTGCACATGACCGTTAACGCATTGCGGTTTTGTTTAGCGAATGTCGGTTTGAGTGTTGTTGCTAGTAACTTGGATTGCTTGGCGGACACCATAGAACGTTGTGAAAGGGGCGTCTCATCGCTCGCGCTCGGTTTAGAAAATGAACGTACGGGTGTCTCTTTAGGCGTTGGTATAGAGACGATCGATGCGTAAGTTACCCGGCTCTGGACTATTGGTGTCGGAGTTGTGACCATCTCGTGAGACATGCCATCTAGTGATGAGTTAATAGCAGTGGCTGGATGCGGCTTGCCCACTTAAAGGGTTAGTTATTGTCGGTTATCAAGCCTGACTTTGGCCTTCCACTTAGGGACAGAGCTCTGAGGGGTTTGCTGTTTAGCAAGGTCGGTTTTGTTAGATTCTAATGGTAAAGACCTGAAGTTTGCCATCTGCTGACAGTTTCATTTAGTTTCTCACACTTACTTACGAGTGGTAGTATACAATGGACTATTCGGATTGCTCTACATGTTTGGCAAAAGCATAGAGGATCAATCAGGTTGATTTGTCTCTAGTACTGTAGTTAAGTTAAAGCAGCACAGAAGAGTTGGACGGAAAGCCGCAATATTCACAAATAATGTCATGTTAACATGGGTGTGTACACTTCTGCTTACCACATTTGCGGTTAGCTGGAATCAATTTCATGAAGGGCCGTTGGCGAAAACGAGCGCTGCCCTTGTCTGGTTATGTGAGGTAGAAGGCCAGTTACGCTTGCCTTCTTTGTACCAGTCGCACTCTGGACGTCGGTTGCCGTAGACGAGTGTGCACGAGGAGGACACACCTACACGGAGTTTGGCTAGATTATTGATCCACACTGGTTCGTGTAGGACAAATATGTTGGAAGGGGCTTTGTAGTGGGTGGATGACAGTGCAAAGTGCCCGGGATAGGTGAATGCAATTGAAAGCATAGATTGAGTGGTAGCTTTGTTAGAAATAATCCTATGGATGTAATTCTATGACTACCAGATAGCGCGGAGAATCCTTGATAGATCCCAGTATTGCCACCGTGAAAACTGTTCAGAACAACAGGGTGGCGCGTCTGGATAGAAGCACGAAGCGCGCTAAAACAACTCGGGTAGCAAAACTCCCTTCTCGTAGGAAATAATTCCGTACAAATAAGCGCACTAAACAAGGAAAGTTAAAATGATTCGAATAAGTGTATGGTGACTGCGCTAGGTGAAGAGATAGACGTGAAACTCTGTGACAGGGGAGAGTACGTTTACTGTGCGACCAGTCAAGTGGATTCGCTCCGTCCGCTTGTCGAGAATGCCAAGGGCACTTGAACTAATGTGTTAAGACCTCCGCCTTGCCTGAAGCGCTTCCGAGTAGCTTGTTAGACAACAGCTTTGTTTTCTATACAGCCCCATTGATCATTCCTATTCCATGGAACTTGGTTCATAGCCTTTTATGCTGCTCTCAGTTCACTTTAAACGGTACGTTGAAGCAACTCGACAGGATCAGTCTTTACACCACTGACTTAACTGGCCAGCAAGATAAAACTCGTCGTCATTTTAAATCCCATGTGAACTAAGTTTCTTTTAGCTTTTTACCTACTTACACTAATGATCATGCAATTTCGTTTTACTTTGTGATCGAGACACTTCCTTGTAAACCATATGATGTGACTGATGCCATTATTTTCGAACCCACATCAATAGTAAGATCGAATGCCACCGCAAGGGATCTACAGCAAGTGGAAATACTTGCACCTACCTGACACTATCTAGCGCAATATGCAAGCAAATCCCGATGTTTCTGACCTTGCTAAGTCATAGAACTTGTCGTTTAAAAGATGCTATCGTCGGTGGCCAGCTGAATTGCTCCCCCGAGGCACATCTTCGCTCCACCGTCGATATCCGCACATGGACTAATGTCAGTCTTTTTATTCAGGCTAATTGTTTGCTCGACTGTAACTAAGCTGCCTTGACATTGTTAGACAAGGGTAACTTCAGTTACCTAAACTAAATTTTAAATGTATATGTGCCTTGGGAGTAACACGTAGCTTTGCCTGGAGTGTGGCTCCTCATTATCATAGTTCTCCTGGATTTCCTTGGTCCCAGGCTAGCGCAACCGAGTGGGATACGGCACCTAACCTGTGGGCTCACTGGTACATAAGATCCGCATATCGCTGCACTTCCTATATTGTGTTAGACAAGTTTGGCCAATAATATTACCTAATATTGATGAAATAGTAAGAGTAGACATTTATAACTGAACGATTAACAACCGTGATGCCGCATGCGGCTAGAGTAAGTTAGCATGGTAAGGTTAAATGGGTTAGATAAGCTTCTATCCTTGCTCCACACTTACCTGATTTTTGCGGTAGCACCTCGATTTTGGGGAAACATTTTGCCACGCAAATTAAGGCGCTGGTGATCATCTTTTGGGATAACTATTTTGTTTAATTAGATGGAGCTAACTCAGGTATGTTGCCGTGGCAAGATCCACTCTTATAACTTTTACTCGGTAGTCCCGCACCACGTATATCTGTTACGGAGTACTTAAGGAATTCCGATAATCACGCTTACGAGAAGACCATCCGCATTTGTATCATCCCACTGCTTGAAAATCATGCTGTGCTTTTCATATGGGAATTATTTACTGAATTTAATAAATCGAGAGGATTCCGTTGTCTTCTGTGACCGATGCATTAGTTGGTTTATTGTTTTTATTTCCATACTTTAGACGCCATTATTTTGTGTGTGTGCCTTTTCAGAACGGTATGGGTACTTATACCTGGCGTATACTTCGGGTCAAAAGCACGCAATACTTTCTCCCCAACATGTACCATGGAAAATGGGAAGATGGGAAACGCAACGGACTGGGTACATTCTACTATCCAAATGGGTCCAGTTACGTGGGGCAATGGAAAAATGATGCGAAGCATGGTAAAGTGAGTGCTGTGAAATCGCAAAGAAATATTATGTAACACCTTCAGCCCCGTGTTGGTGTTGATAATCAGCGTGAATATACTAGCTGTTTCTTTGTATCTTTAGTTAATTTACGGAACTTCACGTCATTCACTGTAATGTGCATTACCTATGGTATGGACTATTTCTTTCTATTTAGCCTCAGTTGTTACGGTTTACTCAACCCCATTTAATCTCCATGCAATTTAGTGTTCTACCGCATTATGGCGCTTTTATGAGTGCAAAATCAGCAGTTTAACAGGCGGTCTGGCTTTGCATCATTCATGGAGCAAGAAAGTCAAGCACTGTAGCTATAGCTGCGCCGCAAAAGATGTTCGCTACTTTTGTGAGATGGACAACAAGAACGGTAAAATAACGATTGATAGATCCTATTGCAAGGGAATGTCCGCACATAAAGTGGCGAATAGGATAGAAAGATGCAATTAGGAAATATGCTATGATGTTGCGAGGTCGAATCACTGACGTTGCAATCTGAATGCTCATTGTTTAGTTAATCCCGATACATGGGTTCCGAATATGTGAACGGTTGCGTGCATGGAGGCACCCAGGGTTTGTTACTCTCAAATATATCATGCTTACTTGCGTCGAGTGAGAGTGCTCAATATATTATCATCACAATTGTCAACTCAGGAAGGCCGTTAGTCGGTTTCAGCGTTGATGAGCTAACGACTCCTCAGTACCTCGCCAACATTAGAAATACTTTTGACCTGAACTACACTCAGTAGATGGACAGAATACCAGATCCTGAATAGCACCGGTAGTACTGATGAAGTGAGGTCACAGGCCAAGCAGATGCCGGATCAGTGTTAGGTTATGTGGTTCACTGGCACCTGGCTCACTGATGATTGGTTCTACGTAACACAGTCTGTTTGGATCCCCGCAAACGTTGTCACCGAGGGACGGACGCACCATTTGGGTTGGATTTCCGTATACAAAATGATCATCTTCATCATGGGACGGATTGTTGTCGAATCATCATTGTTTAGTTAGGGCTTGCCTAAATACACTTTGTTGAGTGATTAACTATAATTCACACGAAAAGTTGTGTTAGAACAATGATACAGTGAGGTGAATGACGGCAAAGCAAAGGATTGCAGCCTAACATAACAGCAGCCTAGCATACATGTTATGTTTTCACAGAGAAAATGACAGTGCTTCCGCTTCGCATCGATTTACATTCTGATTTCTGATTTCGGACGAACACGTTGGAAGCGCGCTGAACGATATTCAAAGTATAATGTTTTATCTAAACACATACGAGATAAAGTGTAACGTTCAACGGATTCCTGATAAATGGATGTTTATGGAATATCTTATATATCAACGGCCATGGCAAGTTCAAGTTCAATTGAGACTAGAACAATAGGAGAAAATCCCGCTGGAGAAGCCACCGTTCTCCTCGCTTACAGCAGCTGCAAGAAGTCGGTCACAAAGTAGTTGAATCGGTAATTCTCGTCTCTTGTCAGAAGTGTCAAATATACTAAGATCGTAATTGTTGCCGGTGAAAGGGGCATCTATGTGAGAAATTTGTCGGTAATTAAAGCTGTCCGTTTGACATTTTCGAACTTGCCGCCCAATGTAATGTATATAGCGCTTGATTTCTTCTACAATATATTGAGAACTTACATGTCCACAGCACTATCTCTTATACCACCTCGTTTCCCACCTTGGCTTCGCGATGTTCTTATTGAACAATAACCAGAATGCGACTAAACCAGTGCTATGATTGAATGAGGGATAAAGCAACAGAACGGAGTATAGGAACTATGGCGTCACTTGTTGCGTTCAGGTTACCAAGTTACTGCCCTCTGGATTTCCTCATATGGGATGCATCTAGTAGAGTGCAAAAGAGCTTATCACAGAGTGATGTAAACTGCATAAGGGGGTGTGAGTTGTGATGGAGCAATGGTAGAATAAGAGTAAAAACTGAGGCGATTTGTGCGAATTACTGAAGTAGCAAAAAGAAGTTACACTGAAGTGAAATGCGCGTCTCTGGACTCACTATAATTGCCACGTTAACAAACCTGTATGTCCGTTGGCGGGAGAGCCTATGGTGCGCTGAGGCTGGCGGGGGCTATATCCTGATAGATGCTCTACCCACTGCTGCTACTGCTGTGCCATGCGCTCATGTCTTGGATACATCCTCTTGGCGACCGCTGGGTGGAAGTTGACTTACACACTTCTCTCTGCTAAGAACCAGGACACCAATCCGCATGAGTCAGTGAACTGACCATGTGCTAGACCCGCTGTCTTCGAGTGTACATTTAATCGAAGGCTTCGGCTGTGGACCCGAGCCGTTCTCCTGTCAGGTGTGGGCGCCCTGCCATACTCTTCGGAGGTTAGGAAGTGGTCAATGACCCTCTTCCCGTAAAACCAAGCCAAGGAAGACAACAGGTCCACGTGTTATGAGCTCACTGTTCTATTGGCGTAGAGCGCGAGCGCCACGCATAGTCTCTGACGGTGCGAAGGCACCACCGGTTGCTTAATGGTGTGCTACTCCCCGCCTCAAGCAACGCAGTCCCTAGACAAATTGGTGCAAACCCGCCGAAAAACCTCCTGCGTCTGGCCGTGGTCGCAGGCGTATCCTAATACGGTCACAAAACACATATGAATTGTTCCTGTAATACAAACGCTGCGTATGACGGACTTCAAGTAGATCCAATCTGTCTCTGCAATCACATTCCCGAGCTGGATCTGCTCCCCACTGCTTGTGGGTCAGACTATTGAGTCAAATAAACCGGGTGTAGTCCCTCAAGCAAACCACAAAATAACCCACTGGCTCATAGGTCATGATATTGAGCCAAAGTCTCCGGGCTGACTCCCTCAAGCAAATTTCCGAAGCAAAACCACCATCACGCCTGCGATTGCTCACTAATGCAATCGTATGCCTGCGCGCAAAACATTAGGCATCGGGTGCTGGAACCCGCACACACTAATAGACCGAAATTCGAGTGAGCGCCCCCGAGCGACGCACTGTATGGGTCGCGATGGAACTGGCGCGCTACAACATCGATATTGCGGCGCTCAGCAAGACCCGGCGCACTGAGCACGGTGACTGGCATTGAGCTGACTACATGTTCTACTGGGTGGGCAGCGCCACTTCAGCAACACATGAACATAGGGTCGGACTTGCGTTATCCGATCGGCTGAATGGGCAGCAGGTGGGTGGGCCGACTGATGACTGCTCGCCTCCACTCGGAAGAGGTAAGTTGGCCACTTTTACAAGCACGTACGTTCCAACCATGTGTTATCCTGATGGCACGCGTGATCACTTCTACACAGCTATCATCTGTGATACAGTCTGTGTCGAGGAGTGAATGCTGAATACTGAATACTGTATTACAGAGCAAGTAGAAATGAATTCTGTACAACTCTTTCGAAATATGGTGAAGAACGTTATAACAGTTGTCAACCGTGAATATCGTTGTCGTTCTTATGTAACATCCAAAATAGCTGACTTACGATATTTCAGGACTCACAAATGTGATATGTTATCGTAAGTGTGCAATCGTTCTCTGAATCGAATGGTGGTAATATATAAATCTAACAAAGTTTTGCACTGCTGCACAGATGTTGTCTCCATCACATGTTCAGGTAGTGTTCCAAGCGTTTACCACTCTCCGTTCGAAGCACCGCGGGTGGGGAACACATTTCACATCCGGAACGACAAGTTTGTATCTGTGTCCGCGTGTGCTGCATGACCGTCGTAAGTGCAGCATTGGCCTTAGCATGGGGAAGTCACCGAGATGTAGAATACGGTAGGTCATAATGAGGTCGACTCGCACCCGACGGTAGGACAAGTTATAGAGTCCTAGTTTCTCGCACCGGTCTTCATACCCAAAGCCACGTAAACTCGGGATCAACCTGGTAGCAACGTGTTGGACCCGTTCGATCTTTTGTGCCTCGCCTCGGGTAGTCGGAAAGTAGGTAGGCAAACCGTACTCTAACATTGGTCTAATGATAGAAGAGAAGAGGCGAGTGGCAACCTCTTCAGACCATATGCCGAAACTACGTTTGAGCGCCCAGAGCATGTGCAATCCGTTACGATATAGCCTGTTCGTGTTGTCCGCGGACTGACCGACTATTTCTGCTGGCTGATTGCAACGCGCGTTGTGCGTGATGCATCGGTGTGAACAGATGTCATCGGTCCGCATGGCATTGGTTCAGCGAATGCGAACGGTGACAGGCTGCTCTCACTGTGTGCCAGTCACGGCCTGGCGATCACGAACACTCGGTTTGCACTGAGTGCGAGTGATATAGCAACTTGGACGCACCCACGGCGTGGGCACTCTCACCTGCTCGACTATGTCATCGTAGGCTAGCGTGATATGCGTGAAGTGCGCATGACACGTGCACTGTGTAGAGCTGAGTGTGACACTGATCACAAATTTGTGCGGACCAAACTGTATATTTATTTTTATAAATCTATGTATTGCACTCCCGCCATGAACCGGCATAAATTTAATGTTCTCTCCCTCGGTACTGTGGAGAAACATATTGAGCTGGGGAAGGCGATGGCTGCACGCCTGTGTGGTGATGTGGACGGCATAGCCACAGTGGGCGACCTGTGGCACCACATTCGCAGCCAGGTAGCAGCTGCTCCAGAAGAGACCGTCGAGCGCGCAAACTGTAAGCAGCCTGATTGGTTTGATGAGAACAATGCGACGATTGGCGCATTGGTGTCGGAGAAGAATACGGCATTAACTGCACATGTGGCAGACCCCAGTGACTTGGGGAAAAAGAGTCAGTTTCGCAAAGTTCGACGGCGACTCACTCGAGAGCATCGTCACATAAAATATGCATAGTGGACGCAGAAGGCTAAGCAGATGGAGTGATACGCCGAAAGCCACCAACACAAGGAATTCTTTGACTAATTGAAGGCAGTGTATGGACCGAAATTGGAGTCGCTGAGGACGCTGATCGATGGCAGTTCAGGCGCAACCTGGACACAGACTGCAGACAT